TTTTTTTAAAGAAAACAAAAGAGATCTAGACTTAAATTTCTCTTTGATATTAATTTCCCAGAGAACTTTTTTGGGGGGAGCCTAAAATGTTAACACAGAGCTAAGGGGTCAGTCTCATTTTCTGCAGTTGGTTATTATCAGGTATCATAGGTGTTTTAGAAGATTTCCTATAGCCATGAAGAGTGAAAGATATGATCTTCACGGTTCTGTCTAATTATAATTTCCCTTGTTTCATCTGAAGCAGATTAGGCATATGCACTATGGAAGGCAAATCTGCTTGCATAAATTTCTTCCCTGTTATATTTGCCTTTAATGTGCAAATGCAGGCTGGAGTCTAGCCATTGTGGAAGAAGAAAACATCTCCAAATCTGATTTCTAGTCTGTTCCAAATCCAATCTCAGGTCTGTTTCTGATAGGGAAATGCAATTCAGCTCCTATAAAGGGCCAGATCTGCTGTTAAACTTGCAGTTGCTATAACCTCTGGTTTAGAGAATGTCCTCTAAAATATTGTCTAAGGAATTTTCACTGGAAATTCATTGCCTATTATTTGATTATTTGCCAATTTCTCAGTTTCTCTCCATTCCTCATTTCTGCATAACTATAACAATATGATCTACACCAGAGAACAAACCGATCACTGATTTAAAGAGAACAGCATTATTTCTGCAAGCGTCATTATTTCACAAGATGCTATTTTTGAATGTATGTACAAAGTACATTACAATATAATGCCTTCATTCTGCAGAGAGCTGCATAAATATTTCTGGCTCTGTCCTCAGCTGGAGCCATTTCTAGACAATATCGTAGATTGCTTTCTGTATATACCCTATTTTACAAGGGACCTAGATTTTTATTCTATTTTTAAAAAATATTCTAGCTCACATTTCTGCTTATATCAATGATCAAAGAGTCTTGTTCTTCTCCCCCTTTTGTTAATCTTCTATTTTCCTGTCACGTTCGTCATCTGGTTTTTTCCCCCCCTCACTGAATATAAATCTGTTAACAAGGGAAAAATAGTATGAAGAAACAGCAGAGTTGTGCTAACTACTTTCTGAATGGAACTAGGCTAAGTGGATATCAGAGGTACAAGTGGGATGTGTGTAGTTTTTCAAGGTGATCAAACAATTTGTCCTTTTCTTTTTTACAAAATGGATAATCCTACTTTGGAGGAAGGTTCGAACCAGGTTGTGTTCCTCATTGATTATGAATTTCTAGTTTTTAAAAGGCTGCCCCTTTGAAGATGCTGTTATATCAGAGTAGAAGAAAACATGGACTTGTACATTGATTGCAGTGTATTGCATGAAAACAGTGGGTGATTTGTCAATTAAATTTGGGCAAAAGGATAAGAGAACAGCAATTCAGATAGCAGATGCTGACATGGAGAATTTCTTTTCTGAAAAGCCTGGCATTTGGCATTTAATTAGCCTTTGCTGGAAGCCAGGAAAACAGAATTGAGCACATGCAGGCTGTAATAAAATAAATTGAGTCTCTTACGTGCAAGCTGTAATAAAATAAAAACAGATATAATTGGAATAAAAAAGTATGAATCTGGGGAAAACACAAAAAGTTTATCATATATTATACATATTCTCTTACATAAGATTTTGTTTCCTTAGGCCTTATTAATGTCTGGATCCTTCTGCTAGAAGAGCTAACCACTGCCATATCTAATTGTCCTCGGCAACACCAGCCTCCTACTCTGGATCTGCTCTTCGAACTGCTAAGAGACATTACCAAAACACCAGGTAATTAACTGAGTTTCAATACAAAAAAATGAAAAGCACATCTAATCTCCACCACAGGGATCAAAATCTGCAAGTCATGGCATCTCAAAGGAAGCTAGGCTCCCAAAGCAGTGAGGCTTCTACCGGTATCAGACCTCTATTTTGTAGATTTTGACATATGTACTGGTACATCCCACCACTGCCACTGATTTCCACATCTGCTTCCAGAGAAGGTTTGATGTCAATTACTGTATTTCAGACTAATCTATTTTGAAGGCTTTTCACGGAAAATAAAATTGCAGAACGTTTTCTGAGAGCATGCTGTGTTAATTAAGTCTAACTGCTGTGATACAAACAAAATGGAGGATCAGGAATTGAGAAAAAAAGCACACCCAAGGGCATCATTGTCTTGCAGTTTTCATTTGTACTCCATGTTTTATAGTATTATTAAAACTGGTTCATGCTGGCATATTTATATTTTGCATGATAGTTGGTAATTTAAATAGAGATATATTAAGCAAATGCTGCTGTACTTCTTTGGACCCCAAATTAAACCATTTAAAGTTGACAGAACAGGTTTAAAATAGAGATAGGGTATTCCAAAGGGAATCACTTTGCAATCCCTTGAGATTTCTATGAAGACACTGCAAAACTCAGCAGCAAACAAGTAATGCCAACGTGTGTGTGTGTGTGTGTATTTTGTCAATTGCGTAGCTCATTAAATTTAAAATGAACAAACCTTTTAAAATAGAGGGAAAACAACTCCAAAATTCTGACACTCTCCTCCCAAAGTTATCATTTTCTCACAGCTTGTTCTCTTTTCTGATCAACATGGGTTATTTAATTATACGCAAGAGAGTGGTTAAAGATGCTGAGCTTGTCAGCTGGAAAGTTGACAGTCCAGGTTTGAGACCCGACCATGTGTGACAGGGTGAGCTCCCATTACTTGCCCCAGCTCCTGGCCATCTAGTAGTTTGAAAGCATGCAAATGTGAGTAGATAAATAGGTAGTACCTTGTTTCCCCAAAAAGGAAATGCAAAGAAGATGGCTAGGATTGCTCAGCTAAGAAGAGCTCTATCATCTCTTTCCGGTCCATTTTTATTTCCTGGTCCTCAATAGGCAAGCTGTAGTTCTCGAAATGTTGTGGAGTTTAACTTAGCATACCTTCCAGAGGTGGTATTCAGCAGGTTCTGACCAGTTCTGGAGAACAGTAGCAGAAATTTTGAGTAGTTCGGAGAACCAGCAAATACTACCTCTGACTGGCCCCACCCCCATCTATTCTCTGCCTCCCGAGTCCCAGCTGATCGACTGGGTCTTCTTTTATTGCCCTGCATGGAAAATGGAAAGCAGGTTAGTGGGGTGGGGAGGGAATGGGATTTTGCAGGAGTGGGGTGGGAATGGAGATTTTACAGTATCCTTCTCCTGCCATGCCCACCAAGCCGTGCCATGCCCACCAAGCCACGCCCATAGAACCAGTAATAAAAAATTTTTAATCCCACCACTGATACCCACCCACAGTTCATCTTAGCTGAGACTGCTAGGAATTAGAGTTCAACAATACCTAGAAGTCCATAGTTTCTTCCTCTCTAGCGTAGTCTATCAAAAATTCCTCTTCTCTGCTTTCTTGAGATATAGCACCCAGAGTAAGGTCATGAATTAACCTAAGCATATATTTGAAAGTGGGGGAGATCCTTTATCCCACTGTTTTTCATCTTTCAGGCCCAGGATTTGGTATTTATGCAGTTGTACACCTCCTGCTCCCTACAATGTCTCTTTGGCTTCATCGCAGCCACGGTGATCATTCTTACTGGGATGGGGCATCCTCTAATTTCAAGCATGCCATTGGCCTTTCCTGCGAATTAGTGGTGGAACACATTCAAAGTTTCATACATTCAGGTGAGTAAAGCAGAGGTGGTATTCAGCAGGTTCTGACCAGTTCTGGAGAACCGGTAGTGGAAATTTTGAGTAGTTCGGAGAACCGGCAAATACCACCTCTGACTAGAGATTTTACAGTATTCTTCCCCTGCCACGCCCACCAAGCCACGCCCACAGAACCAGTAGTAAAATTTTGTGAATCCCACCACTGGAGTAAAGCACATCTCACTTGTTAACCTTGTGGCAAATAAACATGACTGCTGTAGATTCATGCAACGTAATCAAAAGTATGTGAATTACCCATTGAAATGAGAAAGAGACCATATTAAAGTAAAACTGGTTTAGTTTCTTTGTATAGTTTTACATTTATTACTGATAAATGGAAATTGAAAGTTATTTGTTTAGAGGTTTCAAAAAATAATGGAAGCTTATTTATTTATACATGCATACATACATTTTCTATAGCTAACCAGTTCACTGCAGGCTCTGGTCTACTAACAATAATAAAACAAGAACAAGAGCAGTCCAAAACAGTTAAAACAATTGTAATAAATCAATTAATATATTGTGTACCAGGGGTACAAAATAACTCTCCTTCGGTGACCTCTTCCAACTACCTGGCTCTAGTGATTGAGAGAAAATGCAGGGTCTTTAATGTGTTATACAACACCAACAAGGTCAGAACCATCTGGATCTCCAAGGGCATCCTGCTCTACAGGATAGGCACCATGATAGGAGACCAGAAGTGTGTTTATTTTTTATTTTTTATGTATTTATTTGTATCTCATCTTTTTTTATTTTTACAAATGCAGCAACTCAAAGCAGAAAACTTATCCAATATTGCTTCGTTGTCCTATTTTCCCTACAACAACAGCCCTTTGAGGCGGGTTGGGCTGAGAGAGCGCAATTGGCCCAAGGTCACCCAGCTGGCTTTCATGGCTAAATCAGGATTTGAACTCATGGTCACCTGTTTTCTAGCCTGGTGCCTTAACCACTAGACCAGACTTGCTATAATTACCAAGCTCTGGGAAATGATTAGGACGAAACAGAGCAATTTCAAACCTATTTTCAAAAAAATAATATGGCTGTTCCCTAAGCTCAATAAGAAGTAAATGAAGGCTTGTCTTTTAGTAATACTTTTCTTTCTTTTTTAGATGTTGGCTATGAAAATATGATCAACACAATGCTCAAAGATCTTTTCAAGTTACTTGTAGCTTGTGTAGCGGAAACCACCGAAACCATCTCTAGAGTCGGCTGTTCTTGTATCAGGTAGTACAAGATTTTCTTTCCATAATTGTTCAACCGAGAGTGAAGTAAGCAAATATTTGCATTCTTCAAGTACCTAAAAATCCTGTTTGTTTCCTATCCAAACAGATCATTAACACTAAATGAAAGGTCAAGAAAGAATGGAAGTTATACTGCTCTTTTTATTGTTGTTGTTAGCTTTCATTTTGTGATACATTTCCCCTACATAACTTCCTGATTGTACATGGTAAATTTATCCCTGGCTAAATGACTATTATTTCTGTGTATCTTTCCTGGGTGACATAGACATGAAAATCAAATGCAGAAAAATACTCAATACTTCAATAGTACATAAATCTCTTCACAATTTTCTGACCTAGTTGGCAGTTCAATAAGGATTGTTATCTGATTGTCGACTGAATGGATGGAATCCAATTGTCGTCTTCTAATAGCTGAATGATGCAACAATGGATTATTCCATTGTAGGAGAAGGACGCTACCTTTTGCCTGTGTAGACCTTTGTACATCTTCTATACAACTGTTCTGAAGAGTTGGGAAACTCCCTGATTATATTTTAAGGGTGTGAAGAAGGGAGAAGTTGAAAGAGTACAAGCAGATTCCAGTAGATCGTACCCAAACGATAAATAGATTTCTGTGTCTTCCACCATTTGTTCCTTCTCTACAGATATGTGCTAGTGACAGCTGGTCCTGTTTTTACTGAAGAAATGTGGCGTCTGGCATGTTGTGCCTTAGAGGATGCTTTTTCAACTACTCTTGAACCAGTGAAGGTATATCCTATATATGATTAAAACTGATTTTAGTGGTTATCGTTTCCTTAAATGGGATTTTTCATGTTGCGCATGTGTATGCAGGTGTGTGTGTGTATGGTTATTTATTCATACACATATTATGTCTTCCCACATACAGAATTTTATGAAAACTGATGTGGCAGCATTATTTCTTTGAACTCTCAATTTCACAGAGACAGGGGTACTCTTGGGAATACCATAATGTATGAATGTGGATCCTCTTTTCACTAGAACAGGGGTCCCCAACCACCGGTCCCCAGACCAGTACCGGTCCGTGGATCATTTTTTACCGGGCCACAAAGCTTGGGCGCCACCATCTTGTTTCGACGGTGCTTCCGGGTTTTCGGTTGCTTCCGGGTTTTCGATTGGAAAGTGCTTCCGGGTTTTCAGTTGGAAAGCGGCGTTTGGGTGCTCACGCCTTAGTTTCGCGTTACTCAGGTACCGGTCCGTGGAAGAATAAATAATCGTGAAACCGGTCCCTGGTTCAAAAAAGGTTGGGGGCCACTGCACTAGAAGACATGCTCAGCAGTCTCCAAAAGGAGGAAGTCTATACAAGTTTATACAATTCAGAAAAAATACCTAAATATCTTATAGTGATTAATATTAACTGAAAAAGTCCAAAAACCCAATGGATTAAAAAATGCTTATAATTATAAATAACAATATAAAATTAATTCAAGTCTTCTATTTTTAATTATTTCATTTTTACAGCACATTTTATTGATATTTGTAAAAAAAAAAAAGTACACAGAAAATAACTTATGGCCAAAAACACACACACACACACACAGAAAGAAATGTTTAAAAAAGATAATATAGTTCCATCTAATTGTTAATCAAATTAATTATTAATATTAAATTATGAATTATAATATCTACAATTAAAATAAAAACAAAAAGCCCTAATAAATAATATTAATAAATAAAATTAAATGAAATATAAGTGACCTAAATATATCATGTGTTATTTCATAATGAAAAATCAAATTATACATACAATTGTATATTTTTATAAAAGTTTATGAAACCTATGCCAAAAGGAAAATATTTTTAAATTATTATAAAAATGGTTTTTTTCAAAAACGATAAAGTAAATGTGTGTTGAATCTAATCCATGATATCTGGACTGCTAATAATTTTGCACTCCCTCAGTGTAATTATCTTAACTATTTCCAATGGGGTGTATAATCAAAATTCCTCAAAAAATAGTCCGATTCCATTTTATTCCTTTTCATAGAATGTATACAAAGGGTGAATTCTATTCCTGAAGAGTAATCTATAGTGACGATAGATTCCAAAGGCACCAATTGGATTTGTTTGTCAGCCGCAAACAACCAGATCCACTTGTGAAGAGTTCAGTTAGCTGTTTTATTCAAGCCTATACCACAGGAATCTTCTCAGACTGATGGTTTGTATCTGGGTGTCACTAGATAAGGTTTGGTGGCATTCAAGGAAAGTCAGACTTTGGCCTCTTGTGCCCATGTTGGGATTCCAGACTAATTCCCCTTTTGACGCTTTCCCTTGGCTCAGCCAGCCCATCTTCTACATCTTCCAGTTAATAGAGTGTAAACCATGTTCCTGTAGTCTTCAATATCCTTTGGTATTGACATTACATGATTATTAAAGATAGCTATAAGATCATCATCATATCAGAACAATTTACATTAGCATGGCCTTTGGCTCTGTTATTCAATTGCTTTACAGTCAGTCCTTGACTTACAATCAGTTGCTTAGTAACCATTTGAAGTTATCTCTCCTCAAAACTAGTTGCCCAGTTTCAAAATCCCAACATCAGAAAATACCTTCCCCTGCAGTCATGTGATCATATTTTGGGTGCTCAGCAACTAGCCAGCATTTATAGCTGTTTGCAGCACTCTGTGGTCACATTTTTGAGCAGAAAGCAGCATTTCCTTGCAGTTTCCAGATCCATAGCAAACAATGGGTTCACTTAATGCCCACAGTTACAATTGCCGCAAAAAAAGTTTAAAAAATTGGGCCAATCTACATGTTGACCTGCATTACGATCATCACAATTAATTGCCAAGATCAGTTACAGTGGTAGGTCAGGAACTACCATAAATGTTAGTGAACATTAGTTGCATGGCACAGCCAACCATGCTTAGTTTGTGAATCTTGGTTGCCCCAGTTTACAAAATGTACCAACTCAATATCATCTATGATGTGAGCCAAAATTAACTGTCAAGTTTATATTGGAAAATCTACTACCAAGTTTATATTGGAAAAACAGAAAATATGAATAACAATAGTATAATATGAGGAGAAACCATTCAGCTTTGCATGTTGCTTAAGATATAGTTTACTATACCAGTAATATTTTGCCTCTCTGTAGAATCTGTTGGGCTATTTCCACAGTGGCTCTGAAAATCTGAGCAGTGATGCCTGTGAGATGAAAATGGCAGCTCCTTCAATCTCCCCAAGTGCCGAAGCTGAATACTGGAGAATAAGGGCGATGGCCCAACAAGTAAACAACTTTGTTCCATACTTAACTGCTCTGTGCATGGATGTGTTCTTAAGGCATCTTAATCATCATCTTCTTCTTTTAATGACCCCATAATCCTTTGCGGGGTGGAGTCTGGGCAACCGAATGGAGCTAGCAGAGTATTTTTAATGGCCAGGTGCCCTTCCTGTCACCAGTGCGGAGTTTTGTTCAGCAGATATATTCTCAGTGTCCCCAGAGAGAGAAATATCTGCCTTTACCTAGGATCAAACTCGCAGCCTCTTGATTATGAGGCGACCGCACCACTCTTCTTAAGATGTTTTAATACTTCTGATAAAATCAGTGCTTAGGTTTGACTAGATTAATTGGTAATTCATTTGGAGCATTTTAACCTTGCTTGAGTTGATTTTATGTTATCAGGTCTATAAAGATGGGGGTTTTACGTTGGCAACGTAACTGACTTCAGTTACCTAATGTTAATTACCCTGACATATACCATCTATACAATATTATTTATCTGCTTACGTTTAAAGTTTGTGCTCCACGCTTCTGGTTCAAGGGAATGTTCCCTGGACACTGATGTTGTTGTGTGAGCAGCGGAATGACTGAGGCAAACGCGGAGCAACTTCAGCTTTAAACTTTATTATAACAATAAAGGGTTGCCGCCACTGCCGTGCTAACAGGGCAGCCAGCTGGCGGGCAACAGCTGATGCCGTTTGACAGCTCCCTTTTATAGTCAGCTGTCAAATGGCGTCAGCCAATAGGAATGGTCCGTGTTCCTGCTGGGAGTACGGATCAGAGTGAAGAGTTCAGCTCAGTCCTTTCAGAACGCAACAGATGTCTTCACTGAGTTGAATAGGTTTAGATAGGCAAGAATAAGAAACCTTTTGAAATGAAAAAAAGGTAATTCATTGAGTGTTGGGGGAGGAAATATCAATTATTCTGCAGGGCTGATTTTGCTCATTGAACAATTCCATTTGCAGTGAACATCAAAAAGGAACTGCCGTGAGCTAAGTGAGACCATTGAGCCAGCAAAAAAAAATTGCTTGGGGAATAATCCGCATGGTACCCTGTTTCTCCAACAATACGGCCTCCCCCAATAGGAAGTCCCAGCATGTTTTATAGGCATGAAATGAAATTAAACCCCTCCCCCCAAATTAAGGCCTATATTAAAACATGCGAAACGGGGGGAATGGTGGGGGGCCTTGCTGTTAGGAAGCACTTTTGTTGCACACCCGGATATGGTGCTGCCTGCGTTGACCCCGATACGAAGTGCCCCACCAACGCCGAGGTCAACATCCAAGCTGTCGCCGCCTGCCCAAAGATGCAAGGGGGGGGGGGGAATTAAGTCACCACAGAAAAGACGGCCTAGCCATTTTTTCGGGGCTCAAAAAAAAAAAAGACCCGGCCTTATTATATGAGAAACACGGTAGTTCTTCTAGTCTTGCTGACGTTCTCTACATGAGATGGATTAAGTTAGGAGCGCCCAAACTTTTTTCAAGGAGGGCCAGATTTGGTGAGGTGAAAATGTGTGGGAGCCGACCATTCAGGGGAACTGCTGTGCGATGAAGGGAAAAATGTCGGCCAATGGGGATGAGTGACAGGCTGAGTTGGCAGGGAGAAGAGGCTGCGGGCCGCTTGAAATTTGAAAACGGGCCGCAATTGGCCCCCGGGCTGGACTTTGGACATGCCTGGATTAAGTGAATAGGCCAAGATTCAGATAGTCTCATTTTAATTCCAAATTGCTTGCTCTGGTGCTGACTTGCCTGTGGTTCCCGAATATCAGACAATAGCATATTGGTATTATTATTTTTTCACAGGTGTTCATGTTGGACACCCAGTGCTCCCCAAAGACACCAAATAACAAGGAAGGATTTGAGCATGCTCAGTCTTGTCTGCTTATTATTGAGCTGCCTCCAGATAAGAAGTCCAATGGCCACTCACAGAAAAGGTAAGAAACAGATTTCCAAGATTAAACCACAAGCAAAATGAGACAGATGAAAGGCACTTTATATACTCGTATTCCTATTTGGATAGTTTAGTGTCTTACCATGGAAGATAAAAGGTAGTTGGAATATATAATTCAATAGATCAGATGTTTCCAAACTCTGCTCTGACCCCCTTAAATAATAAATAAATATGTGTAAACAGGATGAATGGGGTTGAAAAACAAATAAATATATCTTTTTGTCTTTAAATTGTTCAAGCTTTGCAATAGAATAAGGAACAAATGTTGATAGTGCAATATTTTTTTTAAAAAAAAAATGGTGATTCTCTTTCTGAGTTGCCGATGACCCCAAAGTAGTGCTGACTTACAGTTTGAGAAGTCCAGCATTACGTGCGGTTTCGCCTCAGAATAAGAGTGAGGTGTTGAACTTCATCTAATATCCTTGGCATCGTTAGTGAATGCTTAAGATGCAGACCCTCACAGCAAACCATAGATTTGCATCTTTAATGCTGACTTAGCCAAAGTATGTGAGAGGAAAAGGGGAATTAATATGTGTACAGTACAGTAAAACTTTTTTTTCCAAGAACTTATTGCAGAAAGCCAACAGCCCCTAAACCCAGATTTAAGGGTTAATTGTGAGCATTGGTACAAACTGTGAATTCATTGTAGGAATTTAATAAATGACATTCATGCTGTCCCATTTCTTGACCTATTCAGATTGGAAGCTCATTCCTTAAATTTTTTTTAGCAGGGATACAAATGTCCCTCTTTACAGGACTTGCTACAACAGTGGGTTTGCTGCTTGCTTATTTTATATTCTCTTGCGTGTCAATCCAGAAGTGTTTTTTTTTCCAGTTTTGTTTTCACTTAGTTGAGTTTCTCTTTTTTCTGTCTTGATTTTTCTTTATAATGCTGCAACCAATACACAGGAAACTTGGGTAAGACAGAGTTTCTTTCCTTCAATGCAATTTCAAGCCAACATCCAAATCATGTATTTTCTTAAATGGCATTTGAGATACAGATATTTATCCACAAAAAGTATCCCCTTAGCTATTTAAGAAATTGAAATAGCTATTTAAAATGAACTGCTATTCCCTAACTATCTAGTTTAAAAGGGAGAAGCTTACCTGCCCTTTAAAGACTAATTCAGCAAAGAAGAAGGCCGATACGGTTACAATTGCAGCCCTAATTGCAATTGAAATTACGTTGCAATTCAACTTGGGTGAATTGCATCCTCAGTCAGATGCATTTATAAAATGCATTTTTAAAAAAGAAACCCTTGCAAGTTCCTGTGTATATTCCACCCTTCTCTTTTGCCACACCGCAGTGCACAAATATGCCATGGTGAGATATTTGCTATTTTTCTAATAGTGAATGTGTTACCAAGGACAACAACTTCGCTCCATGCACAATTTCTGGCACACTGTGATACCTCACTGTAAAATTTGCACGTATGCCACAAGAGAAAATACCCCCACCACTGAAATGTACAGGGCGTGTCATTTTGGCTAGTCTTTTATGTAGCATTCCTCAGAAAACCACAACTTTCCTTGGTGCCAGAAAACGAATGCCAGTCATCTACCACCAGAGTGAGTTAAAACACAGTGAAAGCACTAAAAACACAACAGTGATTAACAAGCCCACACATTGCAAGAACAAGTTGCAGATGATAAGCAGCATTAGTTAATGAACATATTTACAACAAAAAATTATAATGATTATAATTTTGGTTACCTTATCACACTGGAGGTTTCTTGGAGAAAGAGAAAAATATAATTAAGAAATTTAAGAAACATTAATGAGGTTCTAAATTCTCTCTCTTTCTTTTCCTGCTGCATGAAGTATCCCTTTCAGAACAATTGTAGTGAGCCTGCTTTCCCACCAAGTGCTGCTGCAGAATTTATACGATATTTTGTTGGAAGAATTTGTGAAAGGGCCCTCACACAGTGAAGAGAAGGTAGTACACCAATTGTCAGAAACCAAACTCACTGGTTTCCTCAGGTACATTTCTATGCAGAACTTGGCTGTCATCTTTGATTTACTCTTGGACTCCTACCGAACAGCCAGAGAGTTTGATACAAGGACTGGGCTGAAGTGCTTGCTCAAAAAGGTATCTGGCATTGGTGGGGCCGCCAACTTGTACCGCCAGTCGGCTATGAGCTTCAATATCTACTTCCATGCCTTGATCTGTGCTATTGTGACCAATCAGGAAAATATCACTGCGGAACAGGTGAAGAAAATCCTTTTTGAAGAGGATGAAAGGAGCACGGATTCGTCCCAGCAATGCTCTTCGGAAGACGAAGACATTTTTGAAGAGACTGCTCAAGTCAGCCCACCAAGGGGGAAAGAGAAGAGGCAATGGAGGGCCAGGTTGCCATCTTTGAGTGTTCAGCCCGTGAGCAATGCAGACTGGGCTTGGCTAATCAAAAGGCTTCACAAACTCTGCATGGAGTTATGTAATAACTACATTCAGATGCATTTGGATTTGGAAAATAGTGCCGATGAGCTCCCTGTCTTCAGAGGAGACCCTGTCTTAATCCTTCCAGCCTTCCAATCAGAAATATCCACACCATCTACTGGAGCCCTTTCCGGGAAAAACACCCCTTCGGAAGATGATAGAAGCCAGATTAGGGACTCCCTCACCGAAAACTTCAGTCCTAAGGGAAGTACAGATATTTTGCTTCTTCCACCTTTGAGCCCCAAAATGGAGAAGAAAGACCAAGGCAGAAAAAAAGAATGGTGGGAGAGTGCTAGCAACAAAATTTACACCATAGCAACAGATAAAACCATATCAAAACTAATGACGGAATATAAAAAAAGAAAGCAACAGCAGCATAACTTGGCTAATTTCTCCAAGGAGATGAATGCTGACAAGAAAGGGGATCCGCTCGGCACAAGAGGGCCAGAGTCACCTCTCCCCCAACGGCCACAGAATCTGATTGATCAAGGCCAGATGAGGCACTCCTTTAGTGCAGGACCAGAGATTCTGAGGCAAGAAAAGAGGCCGCGGTCCGGGTCGACTGCCAGCTCATTCGGTATATCAATCCGGGATGGGGAGGCACAAATACAGGTAAGCAAAGATAAGAGATGAAATAAGGGGGAAAAACTTTAAATTTGGGAGGCCTGCTTTTGCCTTTCATATTGGGGCACTTGGTTTCCTTATTGGTTTTTAAAAAGAGACCTATGATTATATAAAATAAATTGGTTTTTAAACAGAAAGCTACAATTATACAAAATATGAGATGCTTGTGACTACACAATGAATCATAAGCAGGGGTGCGATTCAACCGGTGTAACAACTGGTTTGCTGAGTGCACACTTTGCAGTGAGCGGGCCGAACCAGTAGAATCCCACCCCTGGTCTTAAGCATATGGCATTTTTAGCAAAATGTTCAGGTGTTGTTATATACATGAAGATATACACCTACATATAAAGTGTATACATGCAGTTTCTTGGCAAAAGTGCCTTATTCCAACTTATCTCCACGTGAACACTCTTGACAATCATCTAAGTTTCTTCGGCAGCTCGGAATTTTCTGTGATTAATTCAGATGTCCACAAGATCCTTGTGAACTTCCCAAAATAAGTTAATATCCAATATTTTCTGATTCTGTTTTGTTTAATTCATTCAGTGTAGTCACCAGCTGATTCCAAACCAACTCTGGGTGATGTACAATAAAACCAACGGAACAAAATTGAACACAAGAAATATGAAAAGATAAAAGAAAGGAACAAGAACCAGCAGCAGATCCAGCTATTCGCACCTAGGCACAGTTTGGAAGGGCCTGAATCACCCTAGCCCAAGTCCCGGGAGAATATATTTAAGCATTTCTAGAATGCTATCAGGTTGGGAATCGCACAGATATTGTGTGGGAGGTGGGGTCTCATTCCAGAGAGCAGGTATCACAGCAGAAGGCATACTTCCAGGTCCCAATAGATGATGTTTAATTGAAGGGACCCAGAACTTGCCAGCCATTCTGGATCAAACAGGAGATAGGTGATTCCTCAAGTTTATAGGTCATAACCAGCACCTTGAATTGTATCCAGAACCCAGTGGTGGTATTCTACCGGTTTGGCCCGGTTTGGCCGAATCGGTACCTCCAAGGATCGTCTGTGAACAAATCAGTTCACTCCAACAATCAGCTGCTGGCCCTACCGGCCCACCCCAGTTCTGTTCTGACCTTTATGTCCTGGTTTGGAAGCTCAGCCGCTTCGCGCAGTACAGCAGATTGCCGCACATCAGCTGTTGAAGACACAGGGAGAGTGCAGGATTGCAGGAGAAGGTCATGTTAGTGTTTGGGGATAAACCCCTAGCAGAGTATGCAGCAGCAGTCAAGCCAGGCAGCCAAATGAGAGAGGAAGGGTTTTAGAGTATACACACACTGAACACAAACACTGTTTGTAGTTTAAATAGTTTTTAATCCAGTTAGAGTTTAAGCATTGTCAATCAGTCCGTATGTCATTCACAATATATCCATTCAGTAAGACTCACTAACTCAGTCCAGGTAATAGTCCTTACTATATCTTTATCAGCCGATAAAGATATCTTCTCCTCCTCCGATGCCTTTCTCCAGAGGATAACGCTGGATATTCAGTAGAACGATCAAACAGTAGACAGTCGCAGTAAAACAGTAGTAAACAGTTGTATCCAGCAGTAAACAGCAAACGGCAAACAGTAAAACAGTAGACAGTAGGCAATAGGCAGTAGGCAGTCAGCTTTCTCCTGCTTCCTCTTATTGCAGTTTCTAACCGCACCCTTAATTGGCTAATTACATGCATTGTGGTGCTTAAAGCTACAAACACTTAAACTATGATACCTTAGTTTATATATTTATCCACCCAAACCTTGTTGGGTATCAATGTTATACCTAACAGGTCAGTAAGAAACCCTCTGCACGCATGTGAAGTGCATGTTTGGCGTGCGAAGTGCACGAAGCGTGCCCACCAAGCCACGCCCATAGAACCGGTGGTAAAAAACAATTTGAATCTCACCACTGCCAGAACCATACCAGTAGTCCATACAGCTCCAGAAGCAGAGGTGACACAGCGACTCAATGAGGCATGCTCATCACTGCTTATGCTGCTGCATTGTAGACCAGTTGAATCTTCAAGGTAAATTCCATGCAGAGCACATTGCAATAGTTATTTCCTTTTAGTTTTTCCATTTCTGGCATGTTTGTTAAGTCAGCATTTTTATGTATTTTTGGCATGGATCAACTAGATAGTACTAGATAGTATGGCATTCCGCTTTGTTCGGGTGTTTTCCCACGTCATTGTAGTTGTGCTTTTAAAGTTGTAGCAACGTTTCGGCAGAATCTCATCTGCCATCATCAGGTTTCTGTATAGTGTTCATCTGTGATAGTACTATCACAGATAGTACAGATTCATCTAGATAGTACTATCTAGTACTAGATAGTACTAGAAGATAGAAAAGAGATTTCTAAGTGTCCCTTCTCTAAACAGATTATTCTCCTTTCTTGGGTAGTTTACACTGATAGCCCAATTACTCAACCCTGGAAAAACAATTTTCACACCGAAGTAACATGTCCTTAACTTAATACTAATACTGCATTTCTTCTAAAGGTGTCCTTCCTATTTTCCCTGTTGTTCTATGTTCTTCCATTTGTCTTTTGCATTGTTCTAATTTATATATTTAATTGTTCCCTTCCCCCCTTCTCTTTGCATTGTTTTAGGCATGGACCAACATGGTTCTGACAGTTCTTAATCAGATTCAATCCCTACCAGACCAGATCTTCATCGCTCTACAACCAGTGGTATTTCCCTGCATCAGTCAATTGACTTGCCATGTGACTGATATCCGGGTTCGTCAGGCTCTGAGAGAATGGCTAGGAAGAGTGGGCAGGGTTTATGACATCATTGTGTAGACGACTTTAGCTGCCTTATCAAAGAGAGACTGAAATCTAAGATACTTTGAGGAACAGAAATAAAGTGCATTTGTTGAAAACTTGTCTATTTAAAAAAAATGGTAGAAGGATGTATATCTGCCCATTTGCTAGTCAGTAATAACTAGCAAGCTGTATCCCATGCTGCTAAATCTTAAGAGCACAGTGTAGTCCTACTCATGACACCAGAGAATGTAATATAGCAGAGTATGACAGAAAGAGTCTTTGTATTAAATTTGAAATAGGTATCTAGAAGGCTGATATTCCGACAGGCTGACAGGCTCAGAGTGTTTGATACTGCATATTTTTTAAAGAACAGGAAGGTAGCAAAGAAGATTGTGGAGCAAGGAAAACAGCGTGGAATGGACACAGCTATGTAATAGGTTTTGTCCAGATTGACCATTGAGAATGTAACGATGGCTGAGAAGTCTGTAGTACAGATTTCTGTTATGTCTTAAATGAGGCATCTGATCCTTAAGCCATCTAAATTTAAAACCATAGCTGTACCAATAAACAGGAGAGCCCATTTATTCTAACCTTTATAAAACACTGACAGCGAAAACTAGGCCTCCAGACTTAGGAAGTGACAATATTTCAATGTGATTGTAACAGGTTTTCAGAGAGAAGTACTTACCATCTTGGAAGTACTGCAGGCACCATGCATTATTTCATATTGCTATAAGGTGTCTGTCTAAAAATTGGTATAATTGTCCAATGCTCATTTGAGAAATGAGTTTAAGTGATTTTTCTCGTTTTGATGCAAACCCAAGACCAAAAATATATTTTCTCTGTTATGTAAATTGCAAACACTACTTGGGTTTCCTGGTTCTATATCTTTGCTCATTCCCTTCACTGGGTGTTAAGAAATGCTGTGAAATGTGTCCCAGGTTTTCTGTTTTCAGGCTTTCCATTTTATATTGCCTGGCTTCTCTGTCAGGACAAAAGAATCTAAAAATTAGGCACATGACTAGAATATGTAGAGTTATCAAATTTTTGCCCTTATAACAAATCTGTAAAATAGATCATTCTCAGAGATATTTAGTGACCTTTGTAGTTTTATGGCCAAGCAGAAATATCATTCACTCATCATTCTTTTCTTAAGTCAAACTGGGTGACATCCATAGCTGAAAATAAAGAAGTGTAAGAAATGTTACATTGATTATGGGACAGATTGAGCCACCACATCTATTTATTTACTACCTTTATATAATGCTTTCTCTCTCTGTTTTCTTGCAGAGAATAGAGCATAACTTTAAACATTAGTGTATAATTTAATAGTCTAGTCACAACTGAGAAAAGGATACACAAGAAAGGGAAAACACACACGTTTATATAATGTGATCATTATATAAAAGGCAGTTCTTGTAGAAGAAAAAAAGGAGAAAAATCAGTGTCTCATTTGTGGGAAGCTGAAGTTATGGAGGTAGCTGGCTGGTATAGCTGTGAATGGAAAGGAAGAGCAGCCAGTTAGATGTTAATCCCAGTAAGGGAACTTGGGAAAGGCAGCTGTCACCTCATCTTGCCTTCATAATAGCATTTGCACCCTGACAACTTCTCACACTGAAATTGGCCACAATTGTCTTAAGTCAGGATCTCCAAACATATAGAAGGCTCAAAGAACATGACCGTGTTTTCTGTCCCTATATTTGACCAATAGCAGATTGACTAGAACTCCCCAGCCACCCACCCAATTTCTCTGTAATGATCATACAGAAATACAAACTCCAAAATCCCCACGAGAATTTGCTCTGATGGGAAGCTATAGTATATGAGGTAAGGTTGGTTGGAAAAATGCAAATGAAGCACTAATATCCTCTGATGGTTTCTTAGCCAATTCAAAATCAACCCTTTCGTACACTTCAACACAAGTATGGATTGTACATGTGAAATCACTTCTTATTGCAGAAAATTTTTCCACCAGCTATTTTTCCTTAAAGCTGTGACCAATTCTTAAGGATCCTATTCTGGTTGGAATGCAAGAGTGAAGGAAGATGAGTTGTAAATATTGGAAAGTTGTAGATCAAGATACAGTGGATGCCCATGAGTTCAGGGGCAGATGGCATGGAAGGCATGAGATTTTATCACTGAGAAAACCAATGACCCACAAGGTCTGCAGAGATAGTGATTAAGTTTCTTTAGATCCAAAAGCAAGTGGCATGAGATCAGTCTGGTCTGGAGCTGATGCCAGAGGAATTCAGGACACTAGTGTGAAAGTGCCTACTAGGCAGCTGGTGAATAATGAATCCCAGCTATGCCAATAAAGAAGAGCTCACCTTTGAACTACTGCTAAAACTGAACAATTGGTGGCCATGTTTCACTACTCCAAAAATGGTACATAGTATGTGAGCCCACACACTTTCCTCATGTCTTACATCAGGGGTGTCAAGTTTGTTTTCATTCACGGCCACATCAGGGTTGTGTTTGACCTCGGGGTGGCTGGGGTGGGCGTGGCCAGCTTGATGTCACTCATGTCAGGGGCGCCTGTGGTGGCCCAAGCACTCTGCCAGTGAAAAGGGGTTCCTGGGCTCCATTTCCAGGTGGCCTCCTGCAACCCTTTGCTAGCGAAAACAGAGCTCACCTGGCCATCCCAAGCTCCGTTTTACCTGGCAGAGGCGCCATGAGCTGGTCCTTCATTGTTTCCAGGGACGCCCCGCGGGCTTTGAGTTTGTTACCCCTGTCTTACATGAATATGATTAAACACTGCATCTGCCTTTTCTCTCTTCATTAAGTCATTGTTGGAATATGCCCAAATGACAGCTTGTATCAGCAAGTGTTAGAGGCACCAGCAAAGTATTCTGTGTGCCATGTTGAGATAAAGTTGGGATCAAATTTATGAGCAATGCAGCATTGCCTGTTGTGCTAGCCTTCATTTTCAACCATAGTCATCGAGCTGATTGAGTGGAAGAGCCTTAATCAGCCTCATATAGGATGCCTTGCAGCTTGCTTGAACAGTAAACAGTCCTGTTTCCTTTGCTTCCCTGCTTTCTCATTCAGTTAACAGAAGACTTTGAATGTATAAGTTGTGTCAGTTGCTGCTGAACTCTAGTGATTGTCTATTATGAATTATGGAATTCTTTGTCAGTGCTATGCCCTGAGATGATCGTTTGATTCTTCTATTTGTTTGTTCTTTAAGATTTAAATAATGCTGTGTTTCTATGGTTCTTTGTGAAGAAGAAATTGTTTTAGGGGAACATTTGCCCTTAGTTTACCTACATTGTTTGTTAGTGAGATCTTATATGCGTACTCTAGCTTGTACTTTGAAGCATCTGTCGAACGTGGTAACGAGCAGAGAAACCGAATCATCATACTCAAGAATTTTTCATCTGTTCTCCTGAATGCTGAAAAAAAATGTTTGGATTTCAAGTGTTGCTTTTCAGTTCTGTGCTGTTAGGTATAGGTTACTTGTTCATTGTGTGCGTGGAATAACGAAGTGCTAACGTATACAAAAAGCGACATAACAAAGTGTAACAAACTTGTAGGGCCACTATTACAAAGCAGGCAACAATGAATTATTATTTATTTCAAAGAAGGGAAGTATTACACATTCCTGCCATTACCAAGAATGACCATTGATTGTAAACCATTTCAGTTGCTGCTATCACCACAAGGGCAAGTGGTAGATAGACAACAGTTCCTGCGGAAGATCATCATAATATTTGTTTATTTATTTATTCAGGGTGACTGAAAGTATTATGTAACTAGTTGGCTGAAAGTTCAGCCAAACTTAAAGAAAAACATTCACTGGGAAGAAAAAGGAGAAAGTGCCTCATTCTGAGGATAGGTCGATAATCTCAAGGGAGGAAACTAGAGAATTATTTTGATATTTAATTGAAAATCACTGGGTGGAAGGACAAGTTTTATTTTTCATGGTTTCCAACTTCTATAGACTTTTTATGGAAACACATGTCATAAAACTGGGAGGTACATTTGCCTAAGGTGCTTTTGGCCTCCCAAGCGAGCCATGGGTGCACATTTGTGGATGGAGACATTAGACTTCATGTGTGTGCCAATCTATCTGCCCTTTCCATTTTCTGAATGACCAAACTCCTGTGAGCCCAGAGCTCATGTTTGCATTTTGATCCTGCAAGGCCCTCCTGGGTCAGGGAATTGCACTTCTCCAGTAGTGACTGCAAAATCAGCCAGTCATACACTCAGTAACTTGGTCTCCACATGTCTCTGAATGAAGAATAGGCAGGGGAAAGGACATTCTTCAGGGCAGAAACTTGTCCCCTATTTCACTATGCAAAGTGTGGGTCGTGATTATGGGATCTAAAGATGGAATTTGCACATTCAAGGAATCAGAGGGCAGTCACAGAATGTAGTTGCTCTGGATCAATTTTATTTGTATGTGTCCATAGTGCAAAAGCAATTTATAGTGGACCCTGATTTCCATATTCTAAATATTCCCCTCCTAACAGCTGCCCATGATTTGGAGGCACAAGTAGGAAAAACAAACGCTGACAGCAGTGACAGAAAGTGTAGGAGTTAGAAATTTCACACAGTGCTGTTTATGTATATGCTTTGTCTTAACTAACCAGGTCCTGCAATTATTACTTTCCCCAGACAGATTCTATGCCAAACAAGTGAAATGCAACCCCCAAAGGAGCATCTTCTCTCTTATACCAAAGATCCAATTTGTAAAAAAAATAAAAGTAAAATCGCAGTGCTTGCCACAATTGGCTTGTATCACTAGTAGACACGAAAAGACAGGAATCCAAAGTATTTTGAAGGGGACAAAGACATCCTTTCCAGCCAAGGTTCAATGGGTCCTCACAGTTTGTTGTCTTTGGATTTGTTTTATGCTGGCCGATGAAAACCTATAAGGAATATCTGTTGACAAAATGTCTGGATCCTGCCATAGCTTTCCTTGTGCTCTTAAAAATACCTCCCCTAAGCCCTCTTCTTCTTTTGGTATATATGGGGAGGGGAGAGGGAGGGACATATCTGAACCATTTCTCTCGTGTGTTATGTTTAAGAACAGTTTGTTGTAAGCCACTTTGCAAAATGTATTTTGTGTATATTTTGTTCGGAGGGAATTCTTAAAGGAGGATATTTTAAAACGAATCATAATTATTTGTGTTGCTTGTGTTATACAATAAAGAAACTACAAAAAAGTAAAGCAAGTGTGGAGCTTTTATTTATTTAAATACAATAAATAATTTTATTTGGGAAATTCAGTAGTACAGAACAAAAGTGCTACTGAACACAATAATTAGTTGTGTCCCCTTAATCTTGGAATAATTATCTTTTTTGTCCTGTTAACACAAGTGACTGGAATACCCACAGTTGTCATTCTGAAAATATAATCATGCCAAATCTAAAGGTTAACAGAAAATTTTTGGCAAGTAATTTTTCTGTTATTTTCCTTAATCCATCTTTAAAGACTGTGTGAACATTTCAAGCGTACATGCACCAATGGCACTAATGAGCTATTTTATTTTCAATTATGAGCCTGTCTGAGAGACTCCATATGTGAACATAGCCCTCTTAATCCATTTAGAGCCTTAGACTTTCCACTATTGCAATAATTGAACTGGTAAGAAATGTTTCAGGGAAGAACTGGGCTGAAGAATATTTTCATCCCTGTTCCTTCTGGTACTTGGCTGTGAATTCTCAGAAGATCCGACTTGGGACAGAACAAAAGGATGTTCTTGCTCTGCTTGCAGGTGGCAAGTCCTCAAAGACATTGTTGCCCACTCAGAGAGGCACTGGCAGCTATTTTGCCAGTCCTTCTTTAGCCATCAGGTGTTGTTGCACAGCAGACAATTGAACTTTACTTTCTCTGTTTGGCCTTGCAGTGCTACAGTGCTATGCGTTGACCACGCCTAGAAAATGTTGCTGTAGGGCATCCTTTTTCCTATTGTCTGCATTGCTCTGGTGACTTTAGTTGAACTTATTATGAAGTGACTTTGTGATCACTGGAAAATAAGCCTGACAGTCCTGCCCCAAAAAGAAATTACAATAAAATTTCCATTATACCTATTAGGGTTTATCAGATGATTTCTAGTGTGATGAGCTGAACCTATTGATTATGAGTAATGAAAACTCATCTAGTCAATTCCCGTGATTGAACTGCAGTGGGGTTATCTTGAAATGGCTGCATGGTGGTTCTGTCGTGCATTAGAGGCTGGGACTAGAGAGGAAGGGTTTAAATCGTCTCCCCTTTATTGCTATGATCCTATTATAGTGATTGATATTTGCCTTTTGATCATTGTTCTTTGCTGCGGTAAAAGAATTCCAGGCACTCTGACAAAACTAATGGCTGAGGCCTGGAAGTATAGAATATGCTGTTCAAACAACACTTAACTATAGACCCCAATTCATCAAAGTCATTCAGATGCTGTCTACTTGCCCAGAGGAGATGTCATGAGTATGTTCTACAACCCACCCTAGTCCTTTGTAGCTTGACCCATAAGCTATTCTTTTCCATTCATTTTGGAATTATAAAGAAAATTAAGTGGGTAGACGTGGAAACTTCTAGACACAGATTTTGAGTTTATTATGAGGGGGAGGTAAACAAGAGAATATAATACTGCTGACTTTTCATAATAAATAATTGAATTATCACATAGAATCTATCTGCTTTGCCTAGTTCCTTTAACAATATTATATGAATAATAAGTGTTAATAGAAGAGAATATTGGTAGCCTTGGGGAGTCCTTGGTCCAAATCCTTTTTGTAAATCCAAAATAGAAATCTAAGATGCTCTTCGATCTATTATTTGTATGCCCTTTTTAACTATTAACTTTGAAGGGGAGGTAGACAGCGTAAAAATTTAATAAAAAAATAAAATTAAAAACTCAGCTGATTTCTACTGTAAATTTAATGTTTCATCTTGTCCAATATTCTTCCTGTAGCCGCTCATCTTTAAGTCAATATTTAAGTCAAATTTATTTTTGTCCAATAAAATTTGTTTCTCTTCCATAGCATCATCGTAATTTTATCAATAATGGTAGAAATATTTGAAAGTAATTTCTGAATTATTTGTTCACAAATAATTATTTCTTCACAAATAATACATCCATTGCTTTAATTGTATCTGATGTTTTTTAAAGCCCCACTATCATGTTGTTTAAATCCATCTACATTAAATCCATCTGAACCTGTAGTCCATGTATAACTTTCTTTTTTAAAAACTTCAATCATCCTTGTGATGTTAATTCTAAAAAAACTATTTTTTTCATAAGCCCTTCAACTTGTACTGAAATCTTATTTTGACTGAAAAAAATTTACCCAGTGAAAGTCATAACATTTGCCACTCTGGAGGTTGTCAATATTTAAAAAGGAATAAAAAAAATCAATTCCAAAGTGATTAAGAAATGGAAATTGGCAGAACTTTGAGTCCAAAGAGGCTGCATTAAGCCTATGGGTTTAGATGGAATTTTTTCTCAACTCCCAGTTGCTACGCTTCCTAGCCAGCCACAAAAGCATTAGTTCCTGTGGTTTACTCAAAGCTGTCTGTAGTGTGTGTGACCAATCTCAACATCTCTGCTTGTCTCCAGAGAGATTTCACTGGCCCGGATCCTGCATCCAGCCACAAATTTCATGTCCCTGTTTTTCAAAAACATCTTCAATTTGTCATGATTCCCTAGCATATTATTACATTGTATTACAACTTTTTGTTAAGAATAAATGTAGAATCCAAAGTGAAAGAGGTAATTTTAAATTTCATTTAAAAACAATATAAAAGGCATGTTCACAAGGTTCTTGTGAAGCATGTGTGTGTTTGTGTGTGTGAGAGAGAGAGGGAGGAAGAGGGAGAGAGGGAAGGGAGAGAGAAGGAAGAGAGATGAAAGAGTTAGTGTTAGGGGTTTTGGGTCATTTAGACCAAAAGTGAGTCAGAGTTCATAAATCATACCACAACTTTGTTTAATCCCTATTCATTTACTGAACCACAGTTAGCTAATTTAGATTCATAATGTGATAAGCCATAAACCATAATTTACAATGTACAGTAGCTTGGTGCATGCAGTGCACTAAATGAAAGCCAAACCAGTTACCTTATATGATAGAATGAACCAGTCTGGATATGAAATTTTATTTATCCCTTTGTAGCCTGGGATAAAAAGCAAATCATTTCTTAAAAAATAAATAGAATGCAGAAGTGGGCCCAAGTCAAATTACAATCATGGTATTAGTGGAGGCGAGTAACACATAAACCTCTTTGTCCCCACCACAATGCTGCTCTTGATATAAGTTAAGAGCTTTCCTTATTAGGGTCCTTTCCACTCAGGCCTGTAGCGGGGGACCAAATGTTAATATCCATTCTCTGAGCTAGCTGTTGTGCTTTTCATACACTGCATTTAAGGCTAAAATGTAAATAACCTTACTCTGCAGTGGTGGGATTCAAAAAAATTTTTTACTACTGGTTCTGTAGGCATGGCTTAGTGTACGTGGCAGGGGAAGGATACTGTGAAATTTCCAGTCAGGGGTGGCATTTGCCGGTTCTCTGAACTACTCAAAATTTCCACTACCAGTTCTCCAGTCAGAACCTGCTGAATACCACCTCTGCTCTGCATAAAGTATTACTGTATAACAACATCCTCCACTTGGCAGCTTTCTGAGGCTCCCTAGGTATTGTTAGGCAGTCCAGCCTTTGACCATATTTCCTGGGAAATTTGGAGGTTCTGACTCACTACATCTGCAAGACTTCTGTTTTGAGGCTCTATAGGCAGAATATGACTATGTTTCTTGTTCTATTATTATTTGTAAGCCACCAGGACTATGACACAGAGTTGGGTGCTATAGAGCTCTTTTAAATAAATAAATAAGATGTGGGGTTGTAGATGCTGGGAGGGAGGGCTTACCTGCTGTGCTCCTTTTTGTATTTTATTTCCCCCTGTCACAAAGTGTGTTACTATCAATTCTGGTAAATCATTTGCCTTACCAAACAACTCGAGAAGGCTGCAAGATGACACAACATTTTACTTTCAGCTGGCAGATTTCCTAATCAATGGCTGACCTTCCTTACATTTTATTTTACAGCTGCTTCATTTATTTTTCAGGACCCTACGTAATTGCGATAATCTAGTCTGCTGCCTTAATGTTACAAAATCGATACCCAGTTGTCTCCTCTAAAAGTCCAAAGCTACTCGCGATGGTGCTATTCTCCTCCCAGAAATGTCTCAGTGCCCTCTCAGAGCCATAGTTTGTGAAGCAGAAGATCTCGTCTCAGGTTTCCTATCCAGCAGGAACAAAGAACATTTGTGCTTTCTTCATTTGCTGGCTTCAGGTCAGATTTTTGTGATGGAAATAGCACTCATTAAATATGTAATGGTTCAAATTCCCCCCTTTTTGTAAAAAAAATAAAATCCTCAAGGTTATGTCTCCTTCAACAGGATCAGTGAGCTTATGAAATAAGAAGTTGCTAGGGGTGGGTGAAAAGTGGGGGGAACAGGAGTGAAAATACAATGTGCTGTATTATTTGATAAAATAAGAAAATCTCCTACTATTTCAGCTCAATACAAGAATAGAATAGAACAGAACAGGACAGGACAGAACAGAACAGAACAGAACAGAACAGAATAGAATAGAATAGAATAGAATAGAATAGAATAGAATAGAATAATAGAGTTGGAAGAAACCTTGGAGTACAACCTCCTGTTTAGACAGGAAACCCTACACCACTTCAGACAAATGGTTATCCAACATCTTTTTAAAAACTTCCAGTGTTGGAGCAATACAGCAAGACTTTCTTTATACATTGTCTTTTAATGAGACATATCTAATGATTATCACAACAAGGCCCCTGATCCTTAGCCCCCATTATGGAAAAATGGTCTCCTGCTCTGTTTGTTTTCTTGTTTTCCTTTCACTTCATGACTATGAACTAGGCAGGAGAGGGCCTTGCTACCCCTTCCATGCATCCCACCTGAATCATTCCTGGCTGGGGTGGATATAGTAGCAAGGAACTATGGGACTTTTTCCCTTGCAGGAAGAAGAAAAGCTCAGGACTTAACCGATCGGAAATGGCTCCATCCTATATTATTTCAGTTATTTGTAGTATTAATTGACAGCTTCCTAACCGTCACACAAGTCCAACATTGTGGGAGTCCATGCAAAAGACTCCATATATTTATTTATTTTATTTTATTTATTTGATTTGTCAATTGTTT